AGAATTTTTGATTTTAAGAATAGTGGATTTGTATGATCTCTGTAACCAGTTTACTTCACTTTGCCCTTAAACACTACTTAATGATTATAGCTCCGTACCATTACTACCTCTTTCCTTTCTAAGCTGGTAATGAAATTATTTCACCTTGTCCAGCAAATGCAAAGAAAACCCAGTTTTCGTCAACTGCAGAAACTGAACAGGCAACAAGCTTTAAATTCCTTAATCTATGTCATTTTCTATAGATACACCTTCTGTCTGATACAAAAATGTCAATAATCCCTATTCCCTACACTTTCTGAGGAGGTTGAAAAATACCTTGGTAGCATCTCCTACTGCACTGTACAAAGCATTATAACATCTTGCATAACAGTGTTGTATGGTAACTAGGCGACCGTTGGTCAAAGGGCCCTGCAGTGGGTAGTAAAAGCAGCTGAGCACAGTGTTAATAGTGTAACTGTCAGCAACTTGTCATCAAAGACATCTAAAAGTGTTGCATCCGACATGAGTGTAACTCTATCTCTGACCATATTTCGTAAGTATTTTATCAAATGGACTCTATTAAACACACATTCATACACTATATTATACACAATGACTGAATCTGAAACTGTGATATGCCGCCACTTCAGCAATAACAGACTAGCAATAAGTTACTAATCCTATATTTTATATACATCTTATTCTGTATTTTATTGTATGATATTGTAATGCATTTGAATTTCCCTCCTTTTTAAATCTTTTATCTTATTCTGTGTTTTATCTTACTTTGCTTTCTGCACAATAACATACAACAACATATTGCAAATTTCATTATACCGGCTATGCTTGTTACATGTGTAATAAAATGGTAAAGTCAACTGAATCAAACTTTTGGAGAGCAATGACATCCTCTGTGGTTGGAAATAACGACTGTTCAATGATCTACATTCTATAGAATCAGTTGTTTACAGGAATTTACAATAATTTTCATGATGTGTCGTAAATGATGATCTGTTGTCTGTTTAACTAAGTTTGAGTGACTCTGTTTTTGTATGCAATGAAGTTAATGACCAGCTGTCCTTTCTTTGTAGCCCAAAGACTTGAAAGACTAAGAAAAGAACGACAGAACCAAATCAAATGCAAAAACATTCAGTGGAAAGAGAGGGCGTCCTCCCAGTCAGGTACTGTTCCTAGTCATTTCTAAATACCTTTACTTTTTTAAATTGCACATTTTACAAACTTTGTAACACCATGTTTTACAAACGTTGTTTTTGCTTGTCATTTATATCCCTTAATGTCATTCTGATTACGTAGTTTGCTGAGGATCTGCATGTTCAAATGATTTTGTCTAAAATATGACATCAAATATTCTGTTGCCACAGGGCACAGACCACTTCATTAGTAATATATACTGAAGCATTTATATGTCACACTTAAACGTTTCAGATCATCAAACAAATAACACAACACAGATAACACAAGTAAACAAAATACAGTTTCTAAATGAATGTGTTTATGGCAGAGTTCTAAGACGAAAACCACTGCTGAGCAAAAGGAACATAAAGACTCGTTTCAGTTTTGCCAGAAAACATCGTGACAATCCCCAAGACCTTTGGCTAAGTGCTCTGTGGACTGACTAGACAAAAGTTGAACTTTTTGGAAGGTGTGTGTCCTATTACAGGGTGGTGGATCAAAAAGTCATACAGAGGTTCAGAAAAGGAACATCTTACCAACAGTAAAATATCATGGTGATGTGATGGTCTTGGACTGTCTTGCTGCTTCAGGACCCATAAAACTTGCTGTGGTAAATGAACCATGAATTCTGCTCTCTACCAAAACATCCTGAAGGAGAATGTCTGGCTAATTGTTCCTGAACTCAGGCTGAAGCACAATTAGGTTCTGCAGCAGGACTATGATCTAAAACACAACAGTAAGTCCACCTTGCTGTTGTGAGACTTTGGAGTGGCCTGATTCCAACTGAGATTCGGTGGCCATAAAAAGGCGGTTCATGCTCGAAAACTCCCAGTGTGGCTTAATTACAACCACTCTGCAAAAATGAGTAAGCCAAAATTCCTCCACATTGCTGGAAAAAAAAAAATCATTGTCAGTTATTGCAAACATTTGATTGCAGTTGTTGCTGCAAATGCTGTTGTTGTGTGGCCCAACCACTTATTAGGTTTAGGGTGCAATAACTTTTTCACACTGGGCCATGTATGTTTGGAATTGTTCCCCGCTTAATAATAAAAACCTTCATTTAAAAACTGCATTTTGTGTTTACTTTGGTTATCTTTGTCTAAGATTGATATTTGTTTGCTGAGCTGAAACATTTAAGTGTGACAAACATACAAAAAATAGGAAATCGGGAAATGGTCAGATGTTTTTTCACACTGTATTAACACGAGCTGTTTGATAAAATCTCCTTAAATTCTCAGCAAAACCTCTAAGATAATGTGTTTAGATTCAGACACAAAAGCTCTTTAGTTGACAAAACTCCATCAGTATACGTTAACTCTTTTTTTTTTTTTTCTTCCTGTTTCTGTGTGTTCTGTGCAGTGGAAGATCTGGGGTCTCTGTTTGAAAAGCGCAACTTTAAAGACAGGCCGCAGACAACTGGAACAAAATCCACTTTGTCACTGAGGCTTGAGCAGTGTCCCCAGCAGCTCAATAATCCCTTCAATGAATACTCTAAATTTGATGGCAAGGTGAATTATTCAACATTTTATTTAGGTTTATTTGGACATTAAATAATAGGATTTGAATCCAGTTTTGTAGAGTGGGGAAAACCTGTCTTCAATTTGATTTTCTTCAAGAATTGATAAGCTTTTTCTTTGTATAGGTTTTTCCATATATCATGATAGTCAGGACAGTACTCAATTTTCACTCAATTCAGGTTGAAAATTTTGTTTCTAACTAAATAAGCAGTTATAAATTTTATTGAAGTTATTACCCAAATAATCACAGCACAGTTTCAATCTAATTGTGTATTTATTTCTCCTTTGGCATTTGATGGTAGAATGCCACAGTAGAAATAAATAATTTCATTTGTCTGGTAGGACTTATAGGATCAGCTTTGTGTTTTGAAGTCTGCCTCAAAGGCATATGGTGCTATCAAGCATTCGCAGCAGGTGAATCTGCGCAGCCACAAAATTGACAGACATACGAACGTGCTTGTGCTAATGATCTAATCTGATGACAAAATGTACATCACTTTGACCCATGCTGACTCTAGCAGCCTTGTGGATGTGGAAACTATAACTTGCCTGTTAGTGTTTATTTGAAAAACAATAAGTTAATATTTGTCTATGTTTTGTGTGTTTGTTCGATGTAATGTTTTGGGGTTTTTTTTACTGCACAATCCTCTCTTCACTTTTAGGGCCACATCGGCACCACAGCTACAAAAAAGATAGACGTCTACCTATCAATGCAAATGACTCAGGAGAAAGTACATCCAATGACAGTGGTGACCATCGCCAATGCCCGTGTCCATGACCTCATTGGACTTATCTGTTGGCAATACACAAGCGAGGGACGAGAACCCAAACTCAAGTGAGCACAAAATGGCTAAAAAAAATAAAACGGCTACATTTCACAGGATGTCTTTTTCTTTGTAACACACTTTTTCTGTCTCTCTATATCCAAATCCTTCCACCACATATCCAACAGTGAAAATGTGAATGCTTATTGCCTTCACATTGCTGAAGATGATGGCGAGGTAGACACTGACTTCCCTCCGCTAGACTCCAATGAGCCAATACACAAGTTTGGTTTCAGCACTCTGGCCTTGGTGGAGAAATACTCCTCCCCTGGCATCGCTTCCAGGCAGTCACTGTTTGTTAGAATGTAAGTATGAAATGAGTGATATATCACTTGTAACAACAAATGGTGGAAAGCTGATAGAGTTGTCTATAGGGATGGGTATCGTTTAGGTTTTATCCGATACCGGTGCCAAATCGGTACTTTTGAAACGGTGCCGGTGCT